AGAAATGCCTGTTTTGAACTCAGAAGGGGCGTGAGAGGGTCTGTCTTGGAGCGGTGGTTGCTAGGTGTTGGCGTTTTTTTGTGCTGGCGCTCTATGGTAATGTGCCTCTTTCACCTCATGTCTCTGCTTGCGTCCACAGCCTCATACGCAGAGTTTGGAGACCCTGAACCTTGGTCACAATCCCATCGGGAACGAAGGCGTTAAATGCCTGTTTTGAACTCAGAAGGGGCGTGAGAGGGTCTGTCTTGGAGCGGTGGTTGCTAGGTGTTGGCGTTTTTTTGTGCTGGCGCTCTATGGTAATGTGCCTCTTTCACCTCATGTCTCTGCTTGCGTCCACAGCCTCATACGCAGAGTTTGGAGACCCTGAACCTTGGTCACAATCCCATCGGGAACGAAGGCGTTCGTAACTTGAAGAACGGACTCATTGGAAACCGCTCTGTGCTCCGGTTAGGCTTGGCTTCTACTAAACTCACTTGCGAGGGTAAGAGAGACTGGCCGTAGCACGAGGGACCCTTACGCGCGGAGTTCTCGGTCCTGGAAGTCCCCAGCCCTTTGGTCGCTACCGAGAATGCGAATGACAATGACAGGAGTGATTTTGTTCTTGTGATATCGGAACTGTAGGGCTGGAAGGGGCCGAGAGCAGCCCTCTAATCCAGCTCCCTGTGCTGAGGCAAGGCCAAGTAAACTAGACCGTCCCTACGGTCACTTCTCTAGTCCTCCAGTCACGTGTTGGTTTTTGGGGAGATGACTGAAGCCAAGTAGGCAGTGAGCGGTTCTGCCTTCTGAGCATCTTCCACTGAGCAGTGATGCTCATAACGTCCCTGATCTTTTTTTGTTTTGTTTGTGTGGCATATTTGCAGAGCCCCTTCTTGTTTCTAACGTTCCTTGCCGGGTGTAACTCATTCCTTGCCTTGGCTCTCCTGGTGTTGTCCATACACACTTGTGCTATTCGTGTGTTTGCTTCCCTGGTGTCATGTTGTTTCTGCCCACTCCTGTATGTATCCTTTGGGCGGTCACACTGGCCCTCCTGTGGCTCATCTCTTCCCTCTGTATCAGTTTGATGTGGAGCCTCCAGTCTTACATCACTTAGAACCGACTCCTTTTTGTTCCAATTGCACTTTCTGTGGGGCCTCGCCTATTATTTCTGAGGCCACGTCTCTCCTTGCCACACCAGAGATCCATCTTCTAGTGTGTGCTGTAGCGCGTCCCGTTAAGGACCCGCTACGTTGAATGCTGAGCACATGCCAGTCGGCGCCAGTGCTCCCAAGCCTCACGAGGAGTAAGGGAAGCCCACGGGTGTTTGCTCCCATTGATCTGCTGTGCAGATGGTGCCACGCTCAGCGTAAGGCTTGTTGACTCCAGCTACGTTGTTCACCTGGCTAAGTTGGTTGAAATCTGCCTTTCTGCAGGCCAGTGTCCTTGTCCTGTTTTTTTGAAGAGTAAACAAGCCAGGTGTGTTGAATCTTTCTTCCTAGGTGACGTTTTAAAAATCTTTGTTGTCCTCCTCCCCTGGACTCTCCGCTTGCTAAAGTGTGGCACAGGGCGCGGGGTGAGGCCTTGCCAGTGCCAAGTAGAGCAGAACAGTTATTTCCTGTATCTTACATTGACACGCCTGTTTATGCCCTAGAACAGCCGGCAGCAGCCTGTGAGTCATCAGGGTTCCGCGAGGCGCTTTGTTGACTGTTGCCCATGCCCCAGGGCTGCCGGATTCTGCTGTTTTCCTGCCGGCATTACTAAAACAACACCTGTCTAAAGCCAGGGCACATATTGAGGTGTGTGCTGATTGGATACAATATTGACTGAGAGCGCCACACGTCTGTGCAGCCAATCACAGCGCTGCTAGGGTTCCTTTGGCGCCCCCCGCAAATGCTAGGTTCGCAAACGCAGTTGGCAAAACCACCCCAGGAAACCGTCTTGGTTACGACAGTCTTGTGGCCCGCTGAGATGGCGGGCCTCTCGTGCAGACCACTTCCCTAGAATATTGGCCTTTTTTTTTACTGCTGCATCCCATTGCTGGATCATTCAGCATATGGTCCGTTTTCACCCCCAAATCCTTCTGGACTGTACTGCCACCAAGCCAGTTGCTCTCCACTTTGTAGCTGTGTGCCTGACATTTTCCTTCGTAAGTGCAGCGCTTTGGGTCAGTCTGCAAACAGCCATGCTGTCGGATGCAGTGTCTGTCTAGCCCAGTATCTTGTCTTGGTAATGGCCAGCACCAGACGTTTCAGGAGAAATGACCAGAACAGGGCTATTTCAAGTGATCTGTCCCCAGTCATGCAGCGTCCACTTCAGGCAATTGGAGGGTTAGACACACCTGGAGCATGAGGGGTTACTTCCTTGATCACCTCGGCTAATAGTCATGGATGGACCTACCCTCCATGGATTTACCACATTCTTTTCTGAACTAATAGTTTTGGCCTTTGCGACATCTCTGGCAGAGAGTTCACAGGCTGACTCTGTACTGTGAAGTAATACTTTGTTTGAAACCTGCTGCCTATTCATTTCATTGGCGATCCTTACGGTAAACGACACTTCTCTGTGGGCTTTCTCACTGCATTCATGGGTTTTGTCATGTCCGCCCACCTTCTATTCTCTTTGGTAAGCCGAAGAGCCCCAGCCTTTTTAATTTCTCATCACGGGGAAGCTGCTCCAAGCCCCTCCCCAGTTCTTGTTGCCCGTCTCTGCACCTTTTTCAGCTGTTCAATATCTTTGAGGTGGGGTGGCGGGAAAGGGGTGCATCGCCAAGCGGCATTATGATATTTTGCTTTGCTGTCTATCCCTTTCCTAACTGTTCCTCATTTCCATTGTCGTGGCTCATCATCGGAGGTCTGTCTTCCCCTCCAGGTGCTGTGGCGGTGGCAGAATTCATCGCAGAGAGCCCGAGGCTCCTTCGACTAGACCTGCGAGAGAATGAGATTAAAACGGGGGGTCTGATGGCATTGTCCTTGGCACTGAAGGTCAATCATTCTCTGCTCAGGCTGGACTTAGACCGGGAACCAAAAAAGGAGTCTGTAAGTTGCAGTGCAGTTTTTGGGCAGCTGAACTTTCCCTGCAGTTCTGGGTTGACATTACGTAGCGGGGAATATTTATTGCTTCTCTAAAGCTACCCACCGCAATCAAGCCTGCTCCCATAGACAACCAAAGCAGGAACCTTCCAAACTCGGGGTCCTAAGGCTGGTTCCAGCAGAGACAGACTCTTCTGGACGTCCCCAGGGCCTTTGTGCCTGGCTACCTCATCCGCTGTAGCAACACGTCGAAGGCAGATCAGTCCTTTGCCACGTTCTCCAGGGGCTTGTTGCTTTGAAACTTCCCATTAGAAAGCGCCCAGTGTCCTAGCATGTTAATGGAGCCCTAACTAAGCTCCTTTTGAGTCACTCTATGCCTTTCAGCTCCAGTCTTTTCCTGGTGGTGTTGACTCTGCTCACACAGTAAACGAGCTGTCATGGGTCGCCCGTCACCAGTCGCCTCTACTGTTTACCCTAGTCCTTTTTCGGGGGGCCGAGACAAGCTTTGTCGCTCAATTGCCGGTGTAGTGAAAGCCTTACTTACTCCCTAAGGGTATCGATGACATCACTTTCTCAGCAGTCACTCCATAGAGTTGAATCTGGCTTTTCTGTACCCTAGTGCTTTGACCTGTTACATTTTAATATTTGCATTCTGGTGGCCCTCAAATCGGACCCTAGCTCAGGATGGGTGTGGGTCCTCCCATTGCATTGTGTCTTGAACACAGTAAGAGACAATCCCTTCCTCAGTGTTACAATTCCAGAAAGACTCAGACTTGCATTCTCAGACAGAATCAATTACAAATGCATAATTTTCGCGTTCCATTTTGCATCAAGGCAGGAAGACAAAACAGGCTATTGGTGGTTGTCACTTAACGAGGGAGTTTTACTACAGGACTGGGGACCGTATGGCCTGTGGGCCAGATCCAGCCCCCAACTTAACTTGATCTGCCATGGGATGGAAGCCCTGAACATTGGCACCAAGTTAAGTCTGAGTGAAGGGTGGGTTTTTTCTTTCCAGGGAGCAGGTGAGAAGGGTTTGGTTTTTTGCTGCTCACTTGGGAGCAGTGTGATAGTGATGGTTTTCGTTTCGTATTTTGCTTGTGTGTGGCACGTGACTGATTTTTTCCCCCCCCCACCCCTCCCATGGGTCAGAAGAGTTTTATTTTTGAGCCAGAACCTATTGGCTTTGCTAACAAAAATCAGTTACATTCAAATACCATAAATGGACAGGTTATTCCTAAGTTTACTTACGAGTTACTTACCCACCCAAGTAGAGTTTAAGGCTTATCGCTGTTCCTATGTTCTCTGCGTAAGCAATTGGAAAGCCTGTAAAACTGAGGCAGAAATCGTGGTGCTGTAAGATTGAGTCCTGTCTAGCGAGCTGTGAATAGCCTTTCTGCAGTGTCAGCAGTGTTTCTCTCCCTCTTTCAGGTGAAGAGCTTTATTGAAACACAGAAGGCTCTTTTAGCTGAAATCCAAAACGGCTGCAAACGCAATTTTATTCTGGCCAAAGAGAAGGAGGAGAAAGAACAGAAATTGCAGCAATCTGCCTCTATGCCAGAAATCACCATCACCGAGCCAATTGAAGAAGGACCTGTGGAAAACAGCCAAGTGGATGACCCATTGGCCACTTCTGAAGGAGAAGTGGAGGAGACTTTGGTGTCCAAAGAGAGCAGGCATCCAGACCAGACAATAAACACTGACAAAGGTGGGGTGACCTATTCAGACTCTGACACGGATGATGAGGTAGACACTGGGTTGGAGATTAAAGATCTCAGTAAGTCACAAGAACAGTGTGATTCTGTTCATGCAGCTAATGTGCCTGTCACATTTCTTTGTGCTGAAAAGACAAAGGATGCACTTGGCTCAGAGGACAGAACCACTCCTTCAAGCATTGCTGAAGACACAAAGGGTGAGCCCAAGGGAGGGGAAAGCATGGGGACTGTACCAGACACTCAGGCATGTGCTAACTCTCAAGGAAATGAGAGGAGAATTTCTGTTTCCAGTCCCGGGCGAGGCCATAAAATCTTCGTAGTGACACGAGTGGAAAATCTACCCGAGAAAACAGCAGAAAACACGACGTGGCCGACGGAGAACATTGGTGATTTGCAAGGCAGCGCAGGGAAACAGTCCAAACTGATCACTCAAACCCTACCTACAAAAACTGAGTTCTTAGACTTGCAGGCAAATGGGACTGTTTCTAAGCTGACAGCCATCTTGGAAAATGCGCCATCGGCAGGACCCCCTGGATCTCTTTCAGAAAAGATGAACTCGGGGCCGTGTGAGAATGCAGTCTATGGAGCTCCGCTCCCTAACGGGCTAAAGGCAGAATTTGTGCGTGTGCTACCAGACACGTCCTCAGGGTGTGATGTGAAAATGGGGAGCTGTGCTGTCGAACATGGTAAGAATGCTTTGTGTCGTTCTAGCGTTTATTCCCTTGCTGTGCTGGATCTCCAAAACAAAGTGGTTTTCTGATCCCTGTTTCCTCAGCTCATATTCTTGATAGCCAATAAACATTTCAAAAGGCTGAGTGTGTCTACACAGCAGCATTATTTTGGAATAATGTCAAGCGGGAGGACTTCTTACTCCGACTCCTGTAACCCTCATTTCGCAAGGAGTGTAAGGGAAGTCGGAGGAAGAAAGTTCTTCCTTCAGCTTCCCGCGCTGTGAACCGTGCCAAAAGCCACATGAAGCTATTTCGATTTCGACTACACAATTGACGTTATGTCACTTAATTTGACTTTTGCCCAGCTGTGTGGACATGCCCTCAGTCTCTTGGGGCTAGTGCAGGATTCTTCCCTGTACTATTTTCTGCAGTGTTGTAGCTTGCCTAATTCTGAATATTCCAAGTTTCATCTACCACTATTCTGTGAGTTTATTCCCGCAGTCTGGTAGGTCTCATGGTCAAAAGATTTTTCCTAATTAAGCCTGAATTGCATCATGTTATTCCTCGTTATACTCATGTAATGTATTTTTAAGGCCAGAAGTCACAACTGTGATCTTGTCTGACCTGCATAATACAGGCCAGAGATTCCCGCAGGAGATGATGTTTCCGTTCTGTGCGAGTGAACGCTGTCAATCCCAAGAACGTGACATGGACGTTGTGTTTTGGGAACTAGGCCAGCGGTTCTTCACCATTAACGCAGCAGCATTCTCTGTCTACAAGAGACACAAGTTTTGGGATCCCCTCACGTCTAACCCAAAGGGTTCCCATCCCTCCTTGATTGGCTCAGTCACCCTAAGAGTTGAGCCCTCATTTAGGAAGCTGTACAGCTTTCATGTAATTTAAAGACTCCAAATGACCCCTTCCCTCAGTAAGTTGCTCCAGTGGTTACCGATTGTGTCCTCTTAAACAGTTTTCCTTAGGGATGTTAGTGTGTAATTGAACAGTCATGCAATAGCATGACACTTCAGCGGTTACATGACTATTCGATAGTCCCCAGGGATGGCAGCTGGTGTGCTCCAACCCAACACGAAGGGCGGCAGGCAGGAGCCTGTCTGCAAGCTTGGACCCCCCCACAGACGGGCTGCTGCTGTGGAGGAGCCTCTGTCCACAGGGGGGCCCGGC